TTTGTCTTCAAAACACACATCACATCTACTCCATAAGTGTTAAGATACTACAATATATGAACATGCAAATATACTTCTTTTCTAAAAAATTTGACCCAATTCGTACGGCATCTTACCGTTTGGAGTAGGTAGATTTTGAAAATATAAAAAAAATCCTAAAATAGAAAATAAACAAAAGCGGCAAGAGCGGTACTGACCTCAGCGCACTTTTAACATAATTGGTGTACTTAAAGCAATGTAAACACTTTGTAAATCATCTATTTCACGTCTTCACATAGCTAGAATGTGAATTAAAAACAAATCTGAAGTTATGTAAACTATGGAATTTAATGTAATTAATAGATTATTATTTTCTAAAAAAAAATTTATAAAAAAAATTTAATGCACCAATAAATCTAAACATGCCGCTGTCAAAATGTTCAACCTACGAGCAAAATTAATTCGCAAAATTTATATAAATTATATTTTCAGTAGCAATAATTAAATTATAAAATCTTGTGGCCGTAGTTGCCATATTAATGCAATAGTCAAACTGTTTGAGATTTGTAAATCACACCCCTAATTTATGTAAGAAGAATATCGGCGCGGTAACTCAGCACTTTCAATGTGAATTGGGAATTGTGAATTGCCAAAGTGCTAAGTTGCTCTACAGAACTACGTGAATTTTATTTTTAGAAGATTATTTATTTTATCATATTAATTTGTAGGTTTATGTGTTTATTTTAAGCCCATGAAACACACATTCCAAAACCTAAAACACACCAAACGGCAGCGAAATGAATTTTTCAACGAAATAAAATCGAATGGTTAACGAAAATCGAATAGAAAACACGGCACTGCTGCAGCTAGAAGATACTTTCCCGGCTGACTGGCCGATACAAGAAGGAACGTGAAGTTACGCTCAGGTGAAATAATAAGAAATCAACTCATAAATTTTCCATAAAAACTAAAAATAAAATAAATATACCCCAATACACTTGAAGGAATTTACAGCATTTCTGATATATACAAAATTATTATAAAATTATGATAATTAAAGAACTAATAAGATTGATGAAGAACTCAGCATGCTAAGCCTATTAAACCAAGGATCCCAAAAATACTAACAATGATTTTCTTTAATTAATGATTTCATAATTAGAGAAGACTGTTCTTATATTATTCTTCCACTTACTAATACGACTAATTACTTTCGGTAAACAATTGAGCTTAAATGTACAAGAAGTTCTTCAGCTCTAAATCGGAAAGTACTTCTGAAACTATCAGAAACTAAATAACATATACAGTCTATAATATAATATAGCCACTCACAAATGGATAAATGAAACAAGCTACCTGGAGTACAAGTTACTCCCTAGCAAAAGCACAGAGTCAAATCAATCGATATACACACCGATCGAACAGTGAATCTACTTCATTTTGAGTGATATAATTTTTGGAAGACATCATATTATCACTTATTGATAAATTGACAGGGAATAAGATACTGAGAATCTCAAGACAAAAGCACAGCTATTATTCAATCGAATATATATATCAATGAATAGGCGTGCCCTATTTAACTTGACTGTAATAAATTTTAGAAAGTACCAATCTTGATTTTGGGATGACACATAAACTTCCACCTATGATAATACGGTCACTGACTGCCAGAGCAGCAGTAAACAAAATACTCGAAGCTCCAATGCTATTCAACCATTCTACAATTAGATATATACGCCGACCGATAAGTGTATCTAATTCAATCCAAGTGAAATAATTATAAGAAAACACTAGCTAGACTACGTGTCTACTTTAATCAAAAATAATATGACCACTCACTGATGAAAGGGCGGGGAACAAGATACTCAGAACTGCCAGGCAAAAACACAGCTATCATTTAATCGAAAATATTTGTCGATTATAGCTGTGTCTAATTTACAATGTATTTACTTCAATTTATAATAATATAGCCGAAGTTGCAATGAACAAAATACTCGAAGCCCCAAGCGAAAACAACCATCTTCTAATTACATATATGAGCCGACCAAGTAAAATAATTTTAAAGAAACAACAAATAGACTATATGTCTACTTTAATCTCAGTGAAAAGGCTTTTGAGAAGATATAATTTAGTTATCAAATAAATAAATAAAAAATTTTTATATGTAATATATGATATATATGTGATAACCTCTTATATAGAGTCTCATTCTGAATCCAGAATTGATTTTATAACCACATTTTCTAATAAAATGGCTTGCTGAGTTATATTAATCTAGCTGATCGTAAGCGACATATGGTTTTATGGTTCCCTAGCAATACAAACTAAGGCATAATCTTTATATAGATGTTTAGTAGGTTGCTAACGCTTTTGACGTATATAAAGAGTACTTGAAGTTGTGAGGATATGTAGTATACATAGAAGATGTACCAAAGTCTCTTTCATTCCTTTACTAATATTGGAATTAAATCATACATTTAAACAAAAATCAGATACATATGGAACGTACTAGTACTAGTAAGTATACTAATAAATCCTTGACTTTAGGGCACTATTCCAAACTAAAAATTGTATTTAGACAAATTTTTGGTACATCCTAAACAAAATATAGGTCTATTATAACCGTTTCAAATGAATGGTTTTCGAAAAATTTTAAAACATCTCAAGAAAATAAAATAATTGTTTTCAATTATTTTCGGCCCAGTCTTTCATGAGAGAACGATACTCTGAACTCAAAACAGTATTCTGGTCATTTTTAATATATCTTAAGTAAAACTTAGTAATTGGTGTAGTAAATATATAGCTGGTGGTAAATATTGAAACCTAAAACAGTATTCTGACACATTTCAATGAACTACAATCAAAATATAGTAATTGTTTTAGTCAGTCTTTAACTGATGGTTGCCATTCCGAGTCCATGCAATTCAGCCAACTTTCAGTAGGTATGTAATAAGAATATATAATAATAGTTGTAGTCAGTTTTCGACTGGATGGAGAACGCTACTCTGAACCCAAGATATTGTTCTGTTCATTTTTAATATATCTTAAACAAAACATAGTAATTGGTCTAGTAAATATGTAATATATAATCAGTCCGCCACTGGATGGAGATTGCTACTTTGAATCCAAGATAGTGTTCTGATAATTCTCAATAGGTCTTAAGCAAAACATAGTAATAAAATAAAATACAGTAATTTTATTAATCAGTTGTTAGCTGGAAGGCGTCATTCTAGTTCAATGGCATTCGAAAAGATTTTAATATATTAAAAGAAAAAAAATAATTATTCTAGTAAATCTATAACTGGAGGACGCTATTCTGAATTCAATCATATATAGTATACTGACAAAAGTTTAAGACATCATAAAACTGAAGATATCTCATTCATTATATTTATTGTTGGTATTAAATTTAAAATTAATCATACTCAAATTGACAGCCGACTTTACATTAAGACCGAAAAGTTTTCGGAAATTCTCATTTAAAATTCGCGCGCTGTATATTTTTCGATATTTTAAGTTTATGTAGTTTGGCAGCAATTAAGGACAATTACTATGCCAAAAATGAGCGCGATCTGTCAGACAGTTCGTTTACGGCAGCTGTTGAAACCAGTTCACCTCAGTAGTGCGTTGCGAAAAAAACAATGGAAAAAAATATTGAACAAAGAGTTTGCATCAAATTTTGTGTTTCGAACGAAATTTCGTGTGCAGAATCGTTGCGAATGCTACAAAAGGCTTATGGGGAATCAGTTTTATCGAAAACTCAAGTTTATGAGTGGTACAAAGCCTTTCAGGACGGTCGTACGACCGTCGAAGACATTTCGCAACGCACTACTGAGGTGAACTGGTTTCAACAGCTGCCGTAAACGAACTGTCTGACAGATCGCGCTCATTTTTGGCATAGTAATTAAGGACAGTGCTGCCAAACTACATAAACTTAAAATATCGAAAAATATTCAGCGCGCGAATTTTAAATGAGAATTTCCGAAAACTTTTCAGTCTTAATGTATATACATTATAAGGAAAGTCATTTGAATTGCCAACGTAAGCCAAAATTGATAACAAAAATAAAACTTTTGGCATTCGCAAACATTAATTAGTTTTTAATACATTTCAGGCTTAATGCATTAATAATTATTTTCGAAAACGTCTCAAGCAATTTACATTCTGAGGTTTATTAATTCGCCACAAATGTACCAAAATAGCTTGAGAATATTTAATATTTTTGCGTACTTGTGATGAGATATCTTTGACCCTCCAAAGTATCTGCAGCAAATATGAAATATTATGAATTTATTAGTTTTCTTACACAAAGTATCTATGTATGAACGAAACTTATTATAAACAGTTTTCGTTTGCTAAAGAAAATAAATAAATAAATAAATAATTTAATAATAATTAAGCTAAAAATAAAAATTAAACTCTTCAGGCTGACTAATATTTTTTTAATAATTTTTTTTCATATTTTGCAAATATTTTCACATATTGTGTGTATGTGTGCATGCATATGTATGTATGTAGGTATGCTTAAATAAAGTTGCCGAAAATTATAGAAAGCTTCACGATGGCTAATCTCAGGTAAAAATCGTAATTACTCAAAATTTGAGTCAATTTAAAAATATATTTAATGAAAGAATATTTTCAAAAAAAAAAGCTTTTCCTTTGGTTTTATTTTTAATAAAATAAAATCCAAGAATTTTCCATACAACAGCAACAACAACAAGAGCAAATAAATGAGCAATTAACACAGATATCTGCCGAAAGTGTGAGATGAGCGTGAAAATTTTATTAGAAAAAAAATATATATATTATATATATATATATATAAAATTAAATATGCGCGCCGAATGTGCGACTATAGCTGGCATATATATTTCATACAGCTCTAGATACATGGAAGATAATGCCCAGAAATTCACTCAAAAACGCCAACATACACGAAAAGCTAATGTGAAAACTTAGGAAAATAGAAGACAGAAAAGAAAAACAAATTTCCACTCAAAATGTAATTTGGTTCAAATAGAAGGAAAACACATTTCGGCCAGCACAAATTCACGAAATACTCTTTATTCGAACGACACGGGGATCTCTTGTTCAGTAGATCACCAGCCTTACTCCGACGTTTATTACGAATTATTCGGTGACTCGGTGACAACTACATACGTTTCTTTTTGTGGATAGCTTTAATTTGAAATAAAAAGAAATATTTGGTATTTTTGATATATTCTTGCGTTAAGGAATAAGCGGGCGAGAAAGAAGTGAAATTTTTTTTTTATAAAAAAATTGCAATTTTTATTATTAAATAATTAATAAAGAAATTTAAACATAATGTCTTCATCCCAAGCTGTACGCTCGTCAAAATACTCCTACAGGGCCACTTCAACTGGACCCGGTGTGGCTGATATTAACATCGAATACTCAGCCGATTTGAGCGCCCTCTCGCGCTTGGAGGTAAGCCACAACGTTGGACTTTAAAATATTGGAAAGAAAAAAAATTTTCTGTGAAAATGTGAAATGAAAATATTTAAAAAAATATATTTTTTTAAAAACCAAAATAAAAGCAACTTTGGAAAAATCAAGAAAAAATGATAAAGTATCGCAGCTAAAGCGCTGCCAAAAAATGTGAACGAATGAACCAAATGTGAACGACACTGTGGAATGATCTTATGTAACAAATTCTATAAGTTGTTAAATACTTAAATTAAAAAAAAAAAATAATTAACATGAAATTTAAATATTATTAAAAAAAAAATTTAAATATATGAAAAATAAAAATGTGAAATGTGCTCAATTAATAAGTGACTTCTTTTTGCAGGACAAAATCCGTTTGCTCCAAGATGATCTTGAAGTTGAACGTGAATTGCGTCAAAGAGTAAGTATACATATACAATCATATAAAAAAAAATATTTAAATTATTAATTAAATTAATTAAATAAATATATATTGAAATTGTTGGAAATTTTGCAACAAATTACTATGAGCAAACCTAAGCAGTAAATGTCGAAATTCTTATTTGAAATCAGCACACATTTCAGTTGTGTAAATGTCATTTTGTTAATTAGCTAATTAAAGAAAGTACTTGAAAATTAAGTGTGTAAGATACACAAAACTGTTAGATACAGAAAAAAATTTCAAAAAATTATTTAAAAGTCATGCCTATATGCCTATATGCCTATACGTTCTTAATCAAATAATCGATAGAAATTCGGATATTGAATTTTCGCATAATAATGATGTGCATTGAACTTCAATTGTATATAAGAGCAGTGAAGAAGCTAAATATTTACAACAAAAATATTAGCACTAAGAGTAGAAGAGCATTTGGTGATAAATAAGTTAGAGAGACAACAGCAGCAGCAGGAAAATAATGTAAATTGACAATGACAACAACTGCTGCCACATTTTGTGGCATCAACAATTTCTACAACACGGCAACTTCATTCAAAATCCAAAAAAAAAAATAAAAAAACAGAATGTAAATGTGTTCTTGCAATTATTTTCATGCAAAAAGTACGCATGAAATGCGTTGCCACAACAACACTGAGATACTTCTTCAGATACCGAAGAGTATAGGAAGCAGCCAGCGAATAAACGTACTCACATCTTAAAAATTATAGATAAAAAGTAAACGTTACAAATTTAGAAAATTCGTTTGGCCTGGGGCTATGTAGGCAGCAGTCTTACGGCTTAGGTGTGGACATCTACAAATTTTTATTTCAAAATTAATGCTTAAAGATTTTTAATAGCCAAAAATTATAAATGACAGAAAAAGATTTTTATTTTATTTCTTTGAAAAAACCTAGAAAGCAGAGGAAATTATATAAATTTCATAGAAAATGATAGAAGAGCTGGATTTTTTAGCTCAGACAGTGTTTAATTATTAAAACAGTTGCAAAGAAATTTTTCACGAAAAATATGAACATGATAAAGTATTTTGAAATAATTTTCTTAGCAATGATAGCCTTTATAAAAAATTAAGTTAGACACTAAGACTAACAACAAAATACTTATTACAAATTAAATTAGTCACACACCTCAAAAAAAAAAAAATTATAGTGCTCGCTGTACTTCTTTCCAAATAAAAGCCTAGATCTCTGATATTTATCTATCTTGTCTAAAATAAAATACTAAGAGTCATCCTTTATGGAAGGTTTTATCATAATATTTAGCAGTATACAGTTAGCAGTATATCATTGTGACTTCTAATAATATATAGAGTCTCATAAATAAATGAAACTAATAATAACTATTGAAACTATTAAATCCTAAACTCCTTTCATGTTAAGTATTGAAACAGCTATTGAATTATATTAATTTAGATTAGAATTTAATAGAGATTTGAACTTCCAGCGAGATAGATGGGTACAATAGAAAACCTTTATTTTGGAATTCTAAGCTTATTTCATGATTATTAAATAAACTTTAGAGATTTGAATTAAATAGAGATTAAGCTTCCAATAAGATAGAGCACTGCAATCTTAATAGATCTTTGCAACCATATATGATATAACTATATTTAAAAAACACAATTTAAATAATTTATAATTAAATAAGACAGTAAATTATTTATAGAAATTTATTCATTGAAATATAAACAATAAGTTTATGTGCTAAGTTTATATGTACGTAAGTTATTATATAAATGCTTTTATAGACACCAAACTCTCTAGTCACTTTTTTTGTAAGTCGTTTAAATAAAGTATTAGAATATTAGTTTTAAACGAAGCCTGTTATATACTTATGGAACACCGTATGAAGATGTAAAATATGTCACTTTGATAACATAATAACATCTCATATGAAAATGTTTATATCTTTGTTCAAACTTATGATAATATATAAAAAATACGTTATCATATATATACTTTATCATATAATAATATACATCAGTCGATGAAAGTGAACAGTCATAAACTATCTCTCATGTACCTAGACATCTAAGCTAGAGTACTGCGATCTCAATGGATCTTTGCAGTGCACTTTAACCATATAGAAACATTTCACTAAATTAGAACTAAATAAGTTAATTTAGATTCTATATGAGAAAGCAATATTTATGCTACTATCAACTACTATTTGTTAGAACCAATCCCATATACCAATCCGGTATACCTTTATAGTATTAGAAAATAAAATAAAATCAGGAAAAGTGAATCTACTATCTGTTAGAATCAATTCCGGCATACATTCACAATATTTTAAAATAGAGTAAAATAAGGAAAAGTAAAGTTTGTATATACCTACCTTTATAATTGATTCTAGTATCACCAATTTACATACATTGGTTCATAACTCATATAAACAGGTCCTTCTTTATGTATAGTTTCATATATTGATATCTAATTAATCTAACATCTAACAAATTAATCTGTATTTCTTATTTTTCATTAACAATAATTAATATTTGTTTATAAAATTATTTGATAATATTAATAACTTACATATACCTTAAGAAATATTGGATTCACTGAACAAGGGCACTGCACACACATCCTGTTACGTATTTTGCAGTTCAGGATAGCAATACTCTATCCAAAATAAACATGAAAACCATTATTAGAATTTTTGAATATCTGATATAGTTCACAAACATTGACATTCATTTATATACATGCTTGATATAAACAAATATATATCATTGTCGAGCTTAGGAATTTTCTACGAAATTCAATAATAATACCCCCGGTCCTCAATTCATACCCGATTATGAATAATTTGGGTCACAAAATTTTTTACGCATTTAATCATACAGTCCCAGGCAAAATATGAAGATTATTGATATTGAACTACATATAGAAATAGAAAAAAAATTAGAATTTTAACTCTCTAATATTTCACTAAACTAATAGGCTGGGATATCAGCTGTGACTAGGTATATCAGATGTATCAGATCCGACAATAACCGAGTTCCAAATTTTTAGATGTATAAACAAGTGATAATGATTTTTTGAATAAAAGCGGTTTGAACTGTTTATAGATAATTTTTTTTTTATTTTGCATATTAGAAAATAAAAAAAATTTGGGCACAAAAACTATTGTTCCCTATCAGCGAGAGGTTCTCATGCTTCTTTTGCTTATTTTTTTGTGGGTTTATAATACAACCTGTAAGTAAAATAGAAAATTAATCTATTAGTTAATTTTCGCAGATGAAAAGTCGTAGAAAAATAAAATCATGATAAAAATAGTTAATAAAAATTATAAAAAAAATTTTATAAAAAAATATCTCTCATCTATTACAAATACTTATATATATTAAACTATAGATCACACAATTTTAAAAAATTGTCTTAGCCAGCTAATATAAGTTCGGAATATCTATACAAAATTTTGGTTAAATATGTAATTAATATATAATCTGGAAGGAAGTCTAATAATATAAGCTCTAAGCTCTAGCTCTAGAGGTACACAACAAATCCACTTGTAATCTACGTAATATTTTGACTTACTCATGTACTTCATCTAACTATTTAATTTTCAGTATTATTATGTATACTATAATATATATTTATACTATATATTTAAAAATGTTAGTTTATCTATATTATTTATGCAGAAAAATATGTTTATACTACTAACTTATTTACTTCTTGATAGAAAATAATTTAAGACTCTCTATAGGTATTTAATTATTTAATCAAAACTAAGGTAGTTGCTAACCTCAAAAATCAGAAGAAGAAAAAATACATTAACAATCAAGAAATATTTAAATAAATTTTTATCATTTGGAAAAATGAAGCTAAATTTAGCACAGACATTCAATACAATTATTTAAAATTTAAAATGTAGAATAACAAAAATATACGAAAAACATACAAAATACAAAAGAAAAATAAAATAAAAATTTTATTTCTAGTTGAACAAAAAAAACAAAAATTATTGCAAAGCTTTTCAGTAAAAATATTTATTTGTATCTGTGAGAAAAAATGTTTTTAAAAAATAATTTTTTATACAAAAACTTTTATACACGACTAATTTTTACATAAAATACACTGCTAGAATTATTGCTAACAATTTATTTGACACTTCTTAATTATTAATTAAATAAAAACTTTAATATTATGTTATTTAAAATGCTGCAGTAAATGTATGAGATTCATTTGGAAGAATATCTGAACTCTTGATATCTAAGTTTATATTTTCATATCACCTGCATGTCTATAGATACAAAACAAGCAATCATAACGCCCACATAATGACTCACATACCGAGTAGAGAAATACATCAAAAAGTTTATGTGTCATATGCGTATTTTTAATTTAAAATTAAGAAAATAAAGTAAATCAAAATGTTGATTTAATAATCTTAGGATTTTTGTTGCATGCAAAGAGCAAACACTACATAAAGACACCAGCTAAGCAGCCATGGCGGAACAGCCATGACAGGTAGGTGAGAAGAGATCACTGTGTTCATCTCTGCCAGTAATACGCAGAGATGATCCTTGCATGTAGCTCATGTTCAATACTTGACCGACCACACCTTATAAATAATTTGTTGCTATATATACTCTTCGTACACTTCGTAGTTGCCACATGTTATTTTCGATGTTTTATTTTGCAGCTGCAATATTTCTAAAATCATGAAAATATATTCTATATTTTAGAATACACAAGAGACATATATACAAAACAGAAACTGAAGTCTTTAGGAATTCCTACGAGTACGAGTAGG